AGAGAGAGGGAGAGGGAGAGGGAGAGGGAGAGAGAGGGAGAGGGAGAGAGAGGCGAGTGTGCGCACGCTCACGAGAGGTGGAGGGCGGTGTGTTACAAATTCAGTCATTTGACTGGTGTATGGTTTTATCAGTGTCACATGCTTGTGTGCTTATCAGAATTTATTTGAGATGTCTTTATTTGTTTTCATAGATAGATTACTAATCTATGTTAAGGCGGTTAAATGACTGATAACTTTGAGTTGGCGGCTGCTGTAGGATTGCTCATCATTTATTTATTTTATTTATTTATTTATTGAATAATGGCTCACTAGAGATGCGTGCACTTCCTCATTATCTATGTGTCTGACTGTCTGTTGATTATTTATATATATATATGTTCACTTTTCATACTTTTCATATACACTAACCTATGGGTAGAAATACAGTCAGCATTTCCTGTGGTGTGAAGTGCTATACTAGCCTACTCCTCAGAGTTTTAAAACTCATTTGCCGTGTATAATTGCTCACATTAATTGCAAGACCATGCATTAATTGAGAGATGATTATTATTTTTTGCTTTACAAAATCATTTGTCACACTGCAGGACCATTTAAAATGAATCTAATTGGGCAAAATAGTGGCCTGTTAGAAGACCTGAGATATACAGTACAATTCCCCTTATAAATCCCTTATAAAGGCCTATGCATCCATACACATTTTAAGCTAAAATGTTGGTTGATAATAAATATATGTGCTGCTTTACTGTCTAAAAATAGTGTTTACTATGTTAGGTATGAAACTGTGTGCCATGTACAAACTATAATGGGAAATTTGTTCAAATCAAATTAAATGTGTCCAGCATAAAATTAGGGAAGCTCTGTCACACAGCAGGAAAATGCTCATCATGTGACGTTTTCCAAAATAACACTCGTTTGTCAGCCTGTTTGCAGAACTTCATTTAATTTTATTGTATGACAAAGAATGTTGTTGTTGATTATAAAGAACCGCACTGGAAATTCATTGGAAAATACAGCTTGAGTGAAGATTGTGTTCAGGTTGTTGTTTTAGGATTCTATCTGATCTGACAGAGCGATGGGGTGTGGTTCATGCTCTTGCCTGAGGAACCCATACCAACCTTTAGAATTTCCAAGTGTAGTTTCTAAGTGACAGAACATGACATCTCATGATTTATCCTGAGATGTAAGGTATGTTAGTATAGTTCTGTTTCCCTAACGCAGATGTTGCTGTAAGCTATGTGGGCAGTTTCAAAGAGTTCTGCCCCACCCCAGACACAGACACACACACAACCCATAGCCTTTACTCAAAGGGTATTTGCTGTTATGACCCTCTGGCTCTTTTTGGTTGTGTGTTGGAGAGGTCAGTTTCTTTGTAGTGCTGTCAGCAGGAGACGGATCACCTGTATGGAAACAGGTAAAGAAAAACACCTCTGCCATCTTTGCGAGCTCAGTGGTTGGATTGTGTGTTCTAGATGTATTTTATAGCAAAAAACCTGTTCCGTGCAGCTTCCAGAATACATTAATTTGACGATCATTAAATAACCTGGCTGATGAAACGTTTCCTTATTCTGATTATAAAGAATATTTCCTCTCATTCTGAAAGCTGCATGATTAAAAATGAATGTGGACTGGATTTAGTAGCATACATGAAAAGGTTTCAGAAATCATAGTAATATTTTAAATAAAATAATTCTTGGGGATTCCTTTATGTGCATTTGTAAAAGGCACTCTTGGAAACTTTGTTGGGTTACGTTAGGGTTACTGAAACCACAGTTTTATTTTTTTTTATTTCCATTTGCATATCAGTGACGTCACTCCAAATGACATATGACCATGAGGAGGAACTGAAATTCTCTCTGAACCAAAAAGCACAGGCCTTTGTTTAGCATGAGAGATGAAAAAACCTAATTAAGACCGACACTAAATCGCATCTCCACCAGGAAATCCCACATAATGATCATTTAAGCATTCAAGCGAAAGATTCATGCCACCGTGGCCTGATGGGGGAATATTTTGTCATTGTGTATTGGCAGGCAAGGGCTTGAGCTGATTAACGTCAGTTCCACTTAGATATCAAATAGGAAAACACATGTAGTGAAAAGAAAAGTCTAATTCATATTTGCATATTAATTTAGTTTAAGTCTAACTATGGAACTGCTTTCAGGAAGAGCAAATGGCATATGGTAAAAGCTCATTTTACAGCTTTTGGGCTTTGTTCGTCTCAAATGGTGGGAAGAGGGGGAAAAAACCCTGAGAGCATAGGCTAAGTGAACAAAGTTGCTTGTGCTAAAATAGTTGTGGGTATTTTTCTGAAATTATTGGATCCAGGCTTGGATGAGACAGGGAGTTAAGGTTTCAGAATGTGCTTTTGACCAACCGTTTAAATGGGTTGAAGTGCTGAGGCCATTATGTCATAATTTATTCATATTTAAATTCCCTACCGACCACTCATGCACATGCACACGTGCACATGTATGTTCCATCACAGGCTTTTAGAGTAAATTACTCAAGCCATGTGTTGGACCAAGCATCTGCTCTCCCATGAACACATGCACACACAAATACATTATCCCTCCTTTGGCTTCATCTGGGGCCTTTCTTGTCCATCAGACACACTCCCCATTTGCTAATGGATTAATCGGAGCATTGCTAAGAAGGAAGGCCTGCTGTCTGCACCGCCCAAAATGGCCCCCTGAGACTTCAGTCGATCTTATCTACTCATCTGGTCCCACAACCCTACTTTTGCCACATAATCAAAGGGAATGCTTACTTTAGGTTGTGTACGTCGTCTGATGGACTGTTGTGTTGGTTACCAGCACTAAAATGTTTTTTTCCCAAGATTGCTGGTTGATAAAAAGCAGTTGGTGGTCTTAAGTGCTGCATTGAGGGAATATTGTTCCCTCGCTTTAATATTGTTATGCATATAAATAGTGTAGTGATGCACAGCAGGGAGACACAAGTTCAAGGCTTCCAAGATAAGCTTTAAGTGAGAGTGCTAACTTTTGTGTGCTGTATACAATTATGTCATTTTCACAGCAGAATTCTCATCTGTGCTATCAAATATGGAAGTGGCAACAATGTTTATTCAAGCTCTCTTGGTGGCAGACCTGCTTTTCACTCAAGGCTGCGTGTTTTCAGATCAATATCCGTCATAGAACTGCCTGTAAACTCACCAGTTCTCGCTCAGATACAAGATTTTTGCTCATAATCAGAATGCGGAAACAAGTTGATAAAATGTGCCGATTGGACTCAGATAAGTTTATCTGCATTTATTTATTAATGATTCTTGTAGACCGCACACAAGCGGCATTTGGCAGCATGACAGGATGTAAGGCAGAACGTTAACGAGTGGCAAACAAATCTTCTTGTCTTTTGAGTTTTTTTATCCCATCTTGAGCTTAATGAAGAGCCATAACAGACTCTTTTGGGCCACTCTTGCTCATTTATGGGCTGGTGATATAAATATATTGACGTGGCAGTCAATAAAAGGGTCCGGGGATGGCTATTGATTAGACGAGCATCCAATTATTTCTAGACAACGTGT